AAGACCAGGGGAATTTTTATAAACTCATGTTTTGCTCATTGCCAATCCGAATCACAAGATACATGGTTGGGAGAGAAGTCACCTAGCGTTCGCCATAAGGTAAGGTATTATAACTGCTAACTTTTTCAAGTGGGCTCCTTCATTGCAGTGGAATTACTAAATCATTTGGGACATCATAAAATATAAATTAAATTAATGATATTCAAAAAATAAAAATGACCAAATCTTCCACCAAAATTGAAGAATAATTAATTTCCTTATTTCTGAGAGTCCCCCTTCTCTCCCTCCTCTCTCTCTCTCTCTGTCTCTCTCTCTCCCCACCCCTTTCCGCCCTCCCTCCCTCCCTCTCCCTCCCCCCCGACTCTCCCTCCCTTCCTCTCTCTCTCCCTCTCCCTCTCCCTCTCTAGTTGTAACTATTTTCTTCTAAAGTGTATCATAGATACAATGTTCCATTCTTATATGTATGATATAAACTATTAGAAAAATAATGCATATAAATTTGGAATGGGGCGCTTGGCCTGGGTGGTCATGGTGTGGAGCCACACCTTGATAGCAAGGGTTCCATTATTGCCTTGTTAACATGTAGAAAAAAAGAAAGAAAGAATGGATATAATAGTCAATTTCTTTCTATCTCTTTCTTTGGCTCCTAACCACAACTAGCTCTCTTTCGATTGTAATCCATATATTTCTTTCTCCAAACTACAAAACTAGCTCTCTCCCTCTCTATCCTGGAAAGCTCTCTCTCTCTCTTTAACTTTATCTCTCTATACCCCTAACACAAAAACTTTGCCCCCCCTCTCTGTCTCTCTCCCTGGACCCGCAGACCAATTCTCTCTCTTTGCATGCAAAGCCAACCCTACAAGTTTCTCTCTCTCTATAAAATACCAATCATACTATATTCTCTCTCATAAGCCACAAGGAAGGCTTGTAACGGGCCAGCCAGCATGCTATTTTTCCTTTCTTTCTTCTTTTTTTGGTTTTTTTTGGGGGGGGGGGGGCGCTAGAGAGAGAGAGGTTGGGTTTTTGGCTGTGTAGAGAGATAGTAGGTTTGAGGGGAAAGACAAGCAATTTGGGTTGTATCGAGAGAGAGAGTAGGTTTGAGGGGAAAGACAAGCAATTTGGGTTGTATCGAGAGAGAGAGAGAGAGAGAGAGAGAGAGAGAGAGAGAGAGAGAGATAGTTA